TTCAGTAGTGATATTAAGGAGGCCCTGAGTGGTGCAAAAGATTACTGGGCTCATACATCCACCCAAAGTGCTGTGGGAGAAAGGCTGATGCTCTTCCTCTGAAAGGTCACAGCCATTGAAGGCTCGGTGGAGCGCAGTTTTACTCTGACACCCAGGGGATCACCATGAGTTGAATCGACATTAACAGCAACTGTTTTGTTTCTTTGGGTTTTTATCATTATTATTATTTGTTTTATCATGTAAACAATAAATATTGTTCTAGCTATAAACTGTGCCTTGGCAGGAAGATGGGGCAATCTACTTCCATAGTGATACTGCCTTGGAAACCCAAGGAGTGTTCGCTATGAGTGGGGTCTGACTTGATGGCACATAACAACAACAACAACAACAACAACATAAACTGTGCTCTGACAGTAATTGGAACCCAGAGAGCTAGAAGAAGGAATAAACCATTCTCTACTATAGTAAGATTCCATAATGTCTAAAATGCAAAAATCCAGAATAGCAATATAAACATGGATGGATTACATGCCAACATAAAGAAAACAAACATCCTCATACCTGGACCAATAAGCAACATCATAGTAAGTGGAGAAAAGATTGAAGTTGTCAAGGATTTCATTTTACTTGGATCCACAATCAATGCCTAAGGAAACAACAGTCAAAAAATTAAATGAGATATTGCATTGATCAAATTTACTGCAAAAGATTACTTTAAAATGTTAAAGAATAAAGAGGTCACTTTAAAGACTAAGGTTCTCCTGACTCAAGCCATGGTATTTTCAGTCATCTCATGTCTATGAAAGCTGGACAGTGAATCAAGATCAAAGAAGAATTGATGCATTTTAACTATAGTGTTGGTGGAAAATGTTTAATATGCCATGGGTTGGCAAAAGAAGAACAACTACATCTTGGAAGAAGTACTGCCAGAATACTCCTTAGAGGGGAAGATGGTGAGACTCGTTCTCCCATATCTTGGGCATGTTGTCAGGAGGGATCAGTCCCTGAAGAAGGACATCATGCTTGGTAAACCAGAGGGTCAAAGAGGAAGACCCTCAATGAGATGGATTGACACAGGGGCTGCAACAGTGAGCCGCAAAGTAGCAACTACTGTGAGGATGGCACAAAACCAGGCAGTTTTGTTCTGTTGTATGTAGGGTCACCATGAATCAGAATCAAAATCATGGCATGTGACAACAAGAAGTACCAGATGGAAGGACTGTATGAGGTGGAAATGGTTGCTCCCAGGGAGAAGGACTCAAAGTGGAAAGGGCCCTGCTTTTATTTGAATCACTGGAGAAAGACGCCATGCTTGATAAAGTAGAGAGTCAGTGAAAATAGGAAGACCCTCAACAAGATGAATTGATACAGTGGCTGCAACAATGGGCTCAAACATAGAAACAGTTGTAAGGGTGGCACAGAGCAGGCAGTGTTTTGTTCTGTAGTAAACAGTGTTGAACCGCAGACAGTTGGAACCAACTCCATGGCACACAACAACAGTAGTTTTTGACTTTTTAATATATGAACATAAAGTCTTACAGTTAAATTTTAAAGATTTTTTTTAAAACTGTCAACCTGTGTTTGAAAGCAAAGACCACTGGGTTTCAAATCCTGACCTCATGCACTTAGTATCTATGGGATCTTGATCAAAGTAATGAACTATTTTAACCCTCAGATTCCTTATTCACAGATGTGGATAATCATAGTAAAATAGGCCTCACAGTGTTGTTATAAAAATTAAATAACAAAAGCACTTAGCACAGTACCTATAACACAAAGTGCTCAGTAAATTGTATTTTAATCATATCATGTTTACTACAATTTCATTTGTAGAAAATGTTTGAGATTGACTCTCTAGAAATTGTAGCATTTGCATTCCGTGTTGTAAAAGACAGATTATAGTAATCTGTCTCTAAAGAGGAAAATTTCTGGAAAATATTTAAGTAGGTTAAATTGGTAAGAAATACATTTTCTTTTCGTTTACTGCATGGAGTTTTCACGTGTTTCTTTTGTCAGTGTCGTTAATCGTATAGACTTAATGATTTGGGTCAGAAATACATATAGACTGGAGATGACTTTAAAAAACTTTGTTGTCAAATTTCTCTGAATTGCAGATGAATGAGAATAAATTCAGAGACCACTCAAGGCCATGTTAATCAAGGTCAAAGTTGAGGCTAAAATCTTTATTTGTACTGTTGGGTGGTGGTGGTGGTAGCTGCCTTCTAGTCACACCCCAACTGATGGAGACCCCATGTGCAACAGAACAAGATGTTGTCTGGTTCTGGGCCATCCCCATGTCACTGTGGACTGTTGATCCCGGTTGTTGATGTTGGTGTTGGGTGCCATTGACATTGGCTGGTTTTCGGTAGCTCATAGGCCTTTCTTCCCAGTTTGTCTTGGTGTGGGTGCTCCACTAACTTGCTCAGCATCATAGCAACATACAACAACAGATGAGAGGTGGCTGTGTATGAGTTGCACTGGCGGAGAATCAAACCCGGTCTCCTACATGGAAGGCAAAAAATTCTGCCACCAAACCACTGACACCATCCTATTTGCATTAGGGAACTTACATGTGATTATGAAAACCTTCCAGCTTAGAGTAGCCATTTCATATACTGATTTTAACAAAAATGTCTGAGTACTTGAGATTAAATCAAAATGCTGTAACTTCTTTACATCGATGGATTATGTTCAAATGCCTAACATTTCTTCCAAATGTATACCCTTTCTCAAGATGGAATTCCCTTTTCTTGGCTCTTTAAGAACTCGTGTTTACTTGGCGATCTTGTTCTAGAAGTCTCCATCTTGTGTTTACCTTTGAGCAGATGTTCATTCAGTTCATTTTTTATAATTATTTTTGGACCAGAAACTCCTGCATTATGCACTTCCACATAAGCGAAAAATTTTAGGTGAGCAACTTGAAAGAGCTGTTTACTGAAATAGAAATATTTTTGATAGAATGTATCTTCTAGTGACTGTAAAATCTCCGAAAAATAATCAAAGGCACTGTGATTACAACAGTAAGCTAGTGTTTTTATAGAAGTCACGAGAACATTGTGTTAAGGAGAAAAATTAGAGGAATTGCAGACAAAGAATGTATATTCCAGCTATCTGAGTAAGTTGAGAAATTGTTTAGAACAGGAGATAAACTAGACAAATTGAGAGACTATCACCAAAGAAAAGGAAAGCATTAGGGTAGTTAGTGATCAATAGGGTAACTAAAAAATGAATGCAACTGTATGACTGACTGTTAATAAGAGAATACTTATTCTGAGTTAATGGAGTGTAATTTACCAGAGGAAACAGCATTCATCTTGGATTTACAATTTACAGTCTATGGAGTTAATCTGAAGACTTCACATTTGGGGATTCTTGGGAAGTTCAGTGCCCTGTTTCTCATCATCAACTATTTCCATCCCACATTTAAAATTGCTCCCTGAGGAAGCTGCTGAAAACTATGACATTTGTATGATATAGAACCTAGGTACCTGAAGCCATCATACTTGAAGTTCAGTCAGTTCTCTCTCTCTCTTCTCTCTCTTTGTCTCTCTCTCTCTCTCTCTCTCTCTCTCTCACACACACACACACACACACACACACACACGTACATGTATATACATATTATATACATATTGTATATATTTGTGGTACTTAAGATTATGTATCAGCTTGGCTGGGCCTAGTTTTGAGTGGCTGGGCAGCTGGATGTAGTTATACCCCAGTGAGATTGTTAATCAACTCCATGGTGGAATCCACTGGAACAGCTGAGTAGCTGCCTTAGGGATGTGGTCTGCTTCCAGTTTATAAGAAGTGTTGAGAAAGGTCCCTGCAGCTTTTTAGCACATTTGGACCGTGCGTGTAGCTGAGTCTTCATTCAGCAGTCTGCATGTTTCCTGCCAATCTTGGGACTGTCCACACCAACCCACTGCCTTCTAGTTGATTCCAACTCACAGCGACCCTACAGGGCAGAGTAGAACTGCCCCATGGGATTTCCAAAGCTGTAAATCTTTATGAAGCAGGCTGTTTCATCTTTCTCCTGTGGAGCAGCTGGTGGGTTCCAACCGCTGACCTTTTGGTTAGCAGCAGAGTGCTTTAACCCCTGTGCTACCAGGGCTCCTAAATATGCACAAGTGCCTTAGTTACTATAAACAAAACTGACTCAGCACAACTGACACTGAAGATAGATTTGAAATTTTAAATTTCAAAGGAAGTTAGGTGGGATTAAGTACTTAGGGGTACAAAATCCCATTGTATTTCTGAAATGTGGCCTTCTCAGTCCTCAGTCCTTTAGAAAGTTAAAAGTCTTGTTGGACAGTAAAACCTGACCTCTTAACTGTGTTTGTAATTAACTGCTTAAAGCAAGAATTGCAGGTCTTTGGAATGCAAGTCCCTGTCCTTGAGTTTCAGTTCTTAGCAGGTGCAATGAATTCCTGTTATTGGTTGACTGATTGATTGGGATGGAAGTAATTTCTCTCAGAAGTAGAAACTAGGGTGGGATTCATTTTGCAGTAATTAAAGAACTTGTTTCACTCTTCGTTCAATCTCATTTGCTCAGTTTCTATCTCAGCATTCCTCACATAGCTGAAATATTTTGAGATTTATTTTCTCCTACTTTGGAGCTTGCCAGGAGCCCTAGTGGCACAGTTTTGAGTACTCAGCTGTAAACCAAAGAGTTGAAGGTTCAAACCCATCAGCCTCTCAGTGGGAGAAAGATGAGTCAGTCTGCTTCCTCAAAGGTTTACAGCCTCGGAAACCCCACGGGGCAGTTCTACTCTGTTCTACAGGGTAACTGTGAGTCAAAATGAACTCAGAGGCAATGGTTTTGGTTTTTTGAGCTTGCTGGATTTTATAAATTAAGTTTGAGAAATCTTATGCATCCAAGGAACCAAAGTATTTTTCAAGGTTTATCCTAGCCATTTATCAGTCCACGAACACTGTTGCAGTTCCTGGTATCTGTATTCATGTGACTTCTGAATCAAGCACACTGTGTTCCCTCGCAGGAGCTTCAGAGAGACATAGAGAAGCACAGTACAGGTGTCGCCTCGGTCCTCAACCTGTGTGAGGTCCTGCTGCACGACTGTGATGCTTGTGCCACCGACGCCGAGTGTGACTCCATCCAGCAGGCGACGCGAAACCTGGACCGGCGATGGAGAAACATCTGTGCAATGTCCGTGGAAAGGAGACTCAAGTAAGCTGTGGCCCCTTCACAGGCTTCCGGCAAAGACCGGAGACTCACCCGGAACACTTCCCGTTTACTCTTCCCTTTTGGTTACTATGCCCAAGAAAAGGCTTGGTTTCCCAAATATGCCATCTTCATTGGGTTGGCAAAATAAAAAGATAAAGGTAATTTAAAAATATACCAAGCCAAATTATGTCTGACTTAACAGTTTAAGTATAATTCAGCAAAATGAAAATATGCCCTTGCCAAATATTATAATATTACAGAATCTGGAGCTGTGAAAATGAAATAATGTAAAGAGAAGCATTATCTTTAAGTCCCTTGAAATTGTCTGGTGGTAGAAAAAAATACTGATGAGTTAGAAATTTACCATAATGACTTGGGACTCACTCATTGTACATTCTGATAAACTCCTGGAAATTGAATATTTGCCTTGCCGTCCTAGATTGATTGATTGTTAGGGTGAGTTTGATGTTGAGCTTAAATAGATTTTCCAAACCTCAATTTAATTTCATTGGAGCATTGGCCCAAGTGTTGACTGTAAACAAGGTATTACTTCTCTGAACTTCCTCACATACAGCCAGAGCAGTTCATACATTGTGCTTATGTTCTGTTTGACTGTTTCCAAGTCCAGAGCTGCGGGACATGGCTGTTTTTGGTTTTAGAGAAAGAAAGAAAAAGAAAAAAAAAAAACCACAGCTGTTTATCTTAGCTCAAACAGTTGTCTCTTTTTCTCTCTGGTCAAGTGTGGCTGGAGGCACAGTTGTTGTTTGGCATAACGACTGCTTGTTTGGCTCCCTGATCCTGTGCTGGGCATCAGGCAATGTGCTGGGGCAGGAACAGCCTCAAACAATCGGATTCTGTTCTGTTCTTTCCTGTTTCAGAATTGAAGAGACATGGCGGTTATGGCAGAAGTTCCTGGATGACTATTCTCGTTTTGAAGATTGGCTGAAGATTTCAGAAAGGACAGCTGCCTTCCCCAGCTCTTCTGGGGTGCTCTATACAGTTGCCAAAGAAGAGCTGAAGAAGTTTGAGGTGATTTTTAATTCTAAGTATGTAACCCCTATTAGCTATTAATGTGGCCAGCTGGTAGTGTTCTAAAACATAAACGAACTGTTCATGCCCCACGTTAGTTGTTCAAACAGCTGGGTGATGGTTCTGTAGCCATCTTTATAATTACCTTACAAATAGGCAAAGAAGGTAGGAATGGAAGTTTTCATTTTAATTTAAAATGGTAAAAAACTGCAAATAAAGTAGTAATGAAGAGAAATTCTATTAGAAAATAGGAAACATGGTTCCCCCCAAAAAAGATCTTGGCATTGTTTTTCTTCCAGAATTTTTCAAAATCCATCATCTTTCCTAAGATTAAAATAGGTTTTCCATACTATACCAATCTATCTTCCAAATCTATTTTCTTGATTTTTTTTTAAATCTAATTGGAGCACAGACATATATTTTCAAACTCATCACTTAAATACAGATGACTGTAGAATTGAATAAAACATTTAATTAAAATCCATTTCTAGTTACAGAATAAAGAACACTGCCATTTTTGGCTCACCAAGACTCCTTAGTTACACGGAGGCAGAACTAGTAAGGGCATCATCATGTTTTCATGACGAAAGAAATCGAGCAGTAACTGGTTCCATTCACTTGTCTGTTTGCTCTGTCTGAGCCCCTCATCACTGGGACATGCTGAAATGCCCGCCTTCGTTCTTTCATTTTCCTTTGCTGGAGAAATACTCTGACGTAGCCTACAGTTGGCAGTTCTCTAACTTGAGGTTTCTTGTCTCTTCACTTCCCACTGATGGGCAGATGTGTGCACCTTCGGATCATCTCTCTTAAAACTCAGACTCAGTTGTGAACTCTGCCCCAAGCTCTACAAGGTGTTTCCAATAAGATTAAAAATCCAACCCAAACCAGCTGGACTTATTTTTTTACCTTGCAACATCAGTTAACTAGGCACTTACTGAAGGCTGTTCTGGGAAATAGGAACTGTGGTTTGGTTTGATTTTCTTTCTCTTGTGCAGTTTAAAACCTAAGAGTCATAGCTAAACAGCTATATAAAGCCATAAAAAGCTGAAATATATATGAGAGCTCTGGTAGCGTAGTGCCTAAGGCACTTGACTGCTAACCAAAAGGCTGGCAGTTCAAACCCACCAGCCACTCCTCGGAAGGAGGTTGGGCAATCTACTTCTATAGTGATACTGCCTCAGAAACCCAAAGGGGGGTCGCTATGAGTCGGGTCTGACTCGACAGCACATAACAACAACATGTTATATGGCATAAATAATCATTATTCTGATGGCCAAATAGGTGAACTTAGATATAACTATGTCAGTACATTCCAGGGGAAAAAAAAATTCTTAGAAACCTTTAGAAAGTGCCATAGTCAGCTCTTGAGTAGATTCCGGGTCATTCCATAGTGAACCAATATGACTGTGAGTGCTACTGTTCGACATCTTATTACACTCAGTGTCATAAAGGTTAAACCTTTCATAATTGGCTTACCCTGCAAAGCTGATTGTGTAGGATCTTTTTCGAGGCTATTTTAAACTTCAGATTTTCTGGCAAACGTTAAATGTATAGTTAGCTTCTTCTATAATGAAAGATTTTGTCATGGCTACATCTACTAGTGAACCACTGAAACAAAATTTTGCTGGAGGACAATTTTTAGCCGGTTCAGTTGCATGAATGTTTGGGATGAATCTGGGTTCTGGGAGGGCAGTGGTGCTTGTCACTGGGACATACCTTCAACCCCAGTGGGTACCATGTACCCTTTGACTTATATTGATGGCAATGTCTGAACTTTCCTTACCTCTTCCTCTGCTGGGGAAATACCCTGAGGTTTTATGTAATGGAAGATTGGATTTTCTATGATGAAGGCTCTTAAAGCTCTCCTAAGTCTCAGAAGGCAAACCATTTAAGAGGGAGAAATGTGGTCGCATGTAAACAGTATGATGTGGGGTATAGCTGAGTGAAATCCAATTAATTAGTTATAAAATTATCTCTCTAATGACACGATAAAAATCAGTCACAAATGAGACATGTGAGTTTGAACAAAAAAAAAGTCTTCATTTTTTATTTTGGCTGAATGATTTTTTATGCTAGGGCTATGCTTTATTGCAGAGAGAATGAAGATGGAGGGTTTCACCTTAGATCCTATAAACTGTCATAGGGTGGCCTCAAAAGTAAATAGACATTCTCTGAGAGAACAATTGTGGAATAAAACTAAAAATCATAAAAAAAAAAAAAAAAAGAGGGACCGTGTTTGCTGGTCTGATAGAGCCTGGTGGAACCCCTGAGACTATGGCCCCTAGCTGGCCTTCAGGTCTGGAACTGAAATCACACCTGTGGCTTCCAACCAAACAAGACAGGCATATGAACTGAACATTTACATGAGGTAGATACACTCCTTGGAGAGTTCAATCATGAGAGAATAGAAGGGCTGTGTATGCACAGAGAGACAGCTCGGGGGGCAGGAGTGCATGGGAGGGAAGGACACAGGGAAGAGGTAACTATGGGGAGGAAATGGGAGGGGAACTGTTGAATTGTGAGAAACTGCAGTCAATATCATGAGACAAAGTGTATGTGAGCTGCTATATGGAAAATGAATTTGCTCTGTAAACTTTCACCCAAATCACAATTTTAAAAAAAGAAAAGTAAGTAGACACTCTCAGCAGATCCAACACCTTTTAAACAAATGGTGACTAATTTATGGGAACAACAAAAAGGAGAAAGAGCATGTTCAAACTTTTCTTTAAAAATGGAAGTTTATTTGTAGTTTACAAACTGCTTTCTTAAAAATTAACTAACCCCTTGTGTTTAGAAGGTCTTCCTCAAAAGGTAGTTTGGATTTTTTCTTAATGGACACAGAACTGAAGCAATTTCTGGAATTTTAGAGAATTTCATCTTTTATAAAGACGTAAAAACACTTTTTTCAGTGAGGACATCAGTAATATTGAACCTTTCCAAATACTCAGATTTCAGCACACATATGGGAGCAAATTATATGTATGTTGTTAGTTGCCATTGAGTCAGTTCCGACTCATGGTGGCCTTATGTATAATGAAATGAAACATTACCGAGTCCTGCACCACCATCACGATCATGTACACACACACACACACACACACAATCATTCACCATTTTCTTACATATTTTTTGATCTACTTCCTTTCCTTAAGTCACATTGACTCAGTTACTTTGCTTTAACAAGGAGAAGGGCACACTCATTAGAAAAATGTTCTTTTCTCTCTGTGATGGGGTGACTTCCATTTTTCCTGACCCTGGAGCATGACAGCCAGGAGCCATTACTGAGAGCCCTTGACTGATCTCTTTCACTCATATGTTTCCTTGTGGTCACAGGCCTTCCAACGACAGGTCCATGAAAGCCTAACCCAGCTGGAACTGATCAACAAGCAGTACCGCCGTCTGGCCCGGGAGAATCGTACTGACTCAGCTTGCAGCCTAAAACAGATGGTCCATGATGGCAACCAGAGATGGGACAACCTGCAAAAGCGCGTCACCTCTATCTTGCGCAGACTCAAGGTCTTTATTATGCCTCGTTGGTAAATCAGAGGCCCAGTGGGTGGGATTAGTCCACTTGAACACACTATAAAGACACTTCAGTGGTTTTGTAAGGTTGGGCTGGTGGGAATGGTCTCCAGGGGAGGTGGCATGATGAAGGAGAACAAGGTTCTCATTGCTTTTGAGGAGAAAACTTTCCAGAAGAGCATTGGAATTGTCTCTGCCATTCCATATGTTTATGTGGATTATGTTTATTATTTTCTTCTCACATCCAGCATTTTATTGGTCAGCGTGAGGAGTTTGAGACTGCTCGGGACAGCATTCTGGTCTGGCTAACAGAGATGGATCTGCAGCTCACAAATATTGAGCATTTTTCTGAATGTGATGTTCAAGCAAAAATAAAACAGCTCAAGGTAACAGTTATATTATTTTTCTGAAAGTCTGAAAAGGAGAGAATTTGTATATTCTTCTTTGAAGAATGTGGTAGCATTCTTAAAAAAAAAATCACGTTCTTCTGGATTGCCAAAGAAAATCAGAAAATGCAAAAGATATTAAAAATAAAATTAAGAGCACTTCCCAGAAATAACCATTGCTGATATATATGTACTTTCAACTATTAACTTGGGTGAAAGGGAATTAGGGATCTTCTTTGATTGTGGTTGTTTTTATTTTTGTTTCTTTTCCCCATTTTGTTTAAAGAACCTTCAAATAGTTCATTTGACTTCCATGCTCCAGAGTGCTACTACTTCCTTATGTTGGGGTTTTAGCCCACAAAGCCTTTTGTAGATGTCAAATGAAATTTTGAGCACATTTTATATTTTTTATCATATAATTTAAGCATAACAGGAACTAGACATTTAAATAAGAGGAATATGTGTTCACGTGTAAATATTCCTTAGAGGAAATATGTTTAACAACTTGAGTAATTCAGCAGACAGCTTATGAAGTCTTTTTTCCCAAGATATTAGATAGATAGATGGACAGACAGACAGATAGCTAGATAATAAGTGATTGATTGGTAGATGGGTTTTTAAAAAGAACAATCTTGATGAGTCTTGCTATAAGTTGATATAATGAAGCAAGGAAATGACTGTTAATCACAGATCCTCAGGATGAAAAAAAATGATAAAGTAGTAAATTCTTCTTTGCTGCCCATTTCCTCCCTACTTCATACCCCACACTCATCCCTCTCCCCCATCACCCCCCATACAAACTCACCCACATCTTATCAGAGACAAATCAGTATTGAAATCCTCCAACCAGAAATATCTACAAGGTATTAGTTGAATCCTTTTGAACTCTGGCAATATCATAGAAATTATGACCACCCTTCTTCTTCCAGGCAGTCTTTCTCCTCATGTGAAACTTTCTACTATTCTAGTTTTTCCTTGTATCACATCAAGACTTATCCTCCAAAACTTGTACCAGTGGTCATACTTCAACTCTCTTAAACCATGTAGAATTATTCTGTGTTTTTCATATCACTGTAACTTTATCTGTTTATGTCCTGAAACAGTATAAGCATCTTCTGAGAAGAAATCTGTGACATGAACTGTCATTTGGGAGGGTGTTCTCAGTCAAGTTTGACATATGGTGAGGACATCTATAGTGGGTGTGTTTAGCATATTTCTCCAAGTGCTAAATTTATCTCATTGGCATTGTATTGGTAGCTATTCAGTCTACCAGAGATGATCATTCTGTGAGCTTTGCCATGAGTCTGGGCATTTTTTTCCTGTGATTCTCTGCCCGCACTGTCTACTATGATAAATTTTAATAGCCAAAGGCACAAGTCTTGTCATAAAACTCTAGCATGTACATTTCCAACTCCTGATCATAATATTTCATGGTTTACTTTAGAGCATCTCTAAGGGTCTCTTGTCATCCTACAGTAAAACCTGTGAGAGCTGGAACTCAACAGGATTGTCTAGTTATTCCATGTCTCGCTGACAAGGTGCAGTCTTACCACTTTTCTATCAATCTTTGTTGTTGTTGTTATGTGCCGTGGAGTCGGACCCGACTCATAGCAACCCCTCATTGGATTTCCGAGGCAGTATCACTACGGAAGTAGATTGCCCAACCTTCCTTCCGAATCAATCTTTATTAGTGGAAAATACTTGAATTTTCCTTTTCTGACAGATTTCCACCTTACGTTCCAGCTTTTGCAGGTTTTACTGTATATGGTAAATGAAATATCACCAATAGCATTTTTCTAATGTAATGAGAGATACCTATCTTATTCTTGTTTCCAATATGTGCGCAATAAAAATTACACGAGCTTTTTGCTGCATAGGCCTTCCAGCGGGAAATCTCACTGAACCACAACAAGATCGAGCAGATAATTGCCCAAGGAGAACAGCTGATAGAAAAGAGTGAGCCCCTGGACGCAGCTGTCATTGAGGAAGAGCTGGATGAGCTCCGACGCTATTGCCAGGAGGTCTTCGGGCGTGTGGAAAGATACCATAAAAAGCTGATTCGCCTGCCTGTACGTAATAGTTATTTTTTTCCAAAGTGAACAACTTATGTGCTGATGGGTCACATTGTATAATGGGTAAGAGTCTAGGTTCTGGAGACAGACTGCCTGAGTTCAAGTCCTAGCTCTGACACTTGTTGGTTATGGAACCTTGGGCAAGGTATGTCGCCTCTCTTGACCCAGTTCCTAAAACTGTAAGACAAGATTAATAAGAAAACCAGGTGCCCTCCAATTGATTCCAACTCATCGTGACACCGTGTGTGTCAGGGAAGAACTGTACTCCCCAGAGCTTTATGGGCTGATTTTGGAAGAACAGCTTCCCAGGTCTTCCTTCCTAGAAGCCTTTGGGTGAACTCAAACTGCCAGCCTTTTAAACAAAAAGAAGAAGCGGAGCCTGTTAGCTACTTGCGCCCATCATGGTTTAGTCATAGCACCTATCACGTAGGACAGTTCATTTTGAGCAGTAAATGAGTTAGTCTATGTGACGAGCTATGAAGAGTACCTGGCACAGATCTTTCATGGCAGATAAGGAGCCTCTGGAAGAAACAGGGAGATGAATGTGAGCAGTGTAAGCAGTTGCTCAATCAATGAGAGTCCATTGAGGTGAATTTTTTTCTCTTCTTTCTTGCTGCTGTAATTGTATCCCATCTGTAGAGATGTATATCTGTGATATAAGGGAAGAAGGATGGTTAAGCCTTCAGTAGGTGAAGCAAATGCTTAGAGCACTCAGGTGCCACCTGGGAGATTGGAGGTTTGAGTCCACCCAGAGGTACCTTGGAAGAAAGGCCTGGCAATCTACTTCCCAGAAAAACAGCCACTGAAACCCTATGGATTGCAGTTCTCCCCCAATAAGCAGGGGGTCGCAGTGAGTCAGCATCCGCTGACAGCAAGGCTTTATCAGTCATTTCCTTTCATTCCTGCTGTGTGCCTGTCTATACTTCTTAGGTTGCTGTTGTGGCCCTGGGTTGCCTTTATTTACATTATCTTATTTAATCTTGTATCAGTTGAATATCAGTAGGAAGGCTTTAATATCATGCCCATTTTACCCGAAGTAAATCTGAGGCTTATATAGGTAAATTCATAACACATGTCAAACAGGCATTGGAAATGCACATTGATTTTTTAGTTTAATATCATCTCAACTAAGATGGAAACATTGCACAGATAAGCTTGAACACTGAGGACTTCTCTGGGGGGGGTGGACCCCACAGTGAGCACGGAAGTAACGGGTGCTTGAACTGCTTCCCAGCTCCCAGACGATGAGCATGACCTTTCTGACCGAGAGCTTGAGCTCGATGACTCGGCGGCTCTCTCTGACCTCCACTGGCACGACCCGTCTGCAGACAGCGTGCTTTCCCCGCAGCCCTCCTCCAACCCCTCCCTCTCCCTGGCCCAGCCCCTCCGCAGTGAGCGGTCAGGACGAGACACCCCAGCCAGCGTGGACTCCATCCCCCTGGAGTGGGATCATGACTATGACCTTAGTCGTGACCTGGAGTCTGCAGTGTCCAGAACCCTGCACTCTGAGGATGAAGAGAGCCAAGAAGACAACGATTTCTACCTCAGAGGAGCTGTTGGCCTGTCAGGTAGGGCTGAGCTCTTCCTCTGTGGCAGCTTAAAGGAAAATGCAAGAAAATTCATGTTCTGTTAGAAGCATGGAAGCTGTCTATAGTCCTTGCATCCTTCCTTATTTCCTTCCTTCCTTCCTCCCTCCCTCCCTCCCTCCCTCCCTCCCTCCCTTCTCCCATCAGGGGAAATTGTACATCAGTGAATAATTGAATTGAATATTAATGTGATCATCAAATTTAAAAATTGGCATGGCCATTGATTGAGCCCACATATATTGGTGTTCTTCTTACTCTGTGACAAACACTCTGCCGAGTCCTGGTGTTACCTGATTGCTTCTCTTTTCAAAGAGCTGCCCCTGTAGCATTGAACACAGACAGATGCGCCAGGAATGGCTGAGTGAAGCACTTGGTGGGGGGACAGCTGTACACACCAGGGGGTGCAGGTGTGCAGTTGACGGACAGCCAACCCAGGGCTTTGAAGAAAGCCTTGAGTAGAGACCTGGAGGATGGATAGATGTCAGTCAGCTGGTGTAGCCGAGTCCAGAGTCCAGGAACAGCAGAAAATAGGAAACATGATGCAGTCTTCAGCTTACATGCACAAGCCATCTATTTGTTGTAGCAGTGCACACTTCCCCAGATGGTGATGGAACCGCCTTGGGTGGGAAGTCAGGGTGCAGCCTCTGTCCTTGTCCCCCTGCCTGCAAGTATGATCTTAGACATGGCCCTGTATACTCCTGATCCCACCTTGGGGAGTAGCGTGCTGAGAGAAACAACGAGGACCAAACCCAGGAAACACACAGTGATGGGAAGAGCAGACAAATAACCACATGAGAATGAAGGAAAGTGAATGAAAATCAACAGAACAGAGAACTAGAGGCCGATTTGTAAATGCATCTCATCCATTCCCCAATAGGACATCTCTGAGTATGGCTGCATATTGAAATAATAACTTAGACATATCAGTAGTGAAAATCACTTCCTCTATTTTTCATTACCTTTTTAGCATAGCTATTAAAACCTTCAGGGGTTACGTAGATGACTCATATTTTTATTGGCTAAAACTGCTCTACTCTATAACTGTGGTGGCAATCACACTTCTGCCGCTTACAGCTTTTTAAACTTGGATAAATAACTCAACCCCTCTGAGTCTTGGTTTTCCTCATCTATAAAATGGGAATAACAATCTGAAGAACCTCCCAGAGTGTCTCTGGATAAATGAGCTAGTGCGTGTCAAGTGCCTAGGACGGTTCCTGGCTCGTCTCGCACTCTCTATAGACGGGAACTCGCCTGGTGATTCGTTGCAGGGAACCGGGAACGCACTCACACTCTTCTGTCTGCGCAGGAACTCTCTGTGCAGTCCAGACTGACTGACTTCCCTTTCTTCCCTAGGACAGTTATGTGCCTGCCACCAGGGAATCGAGGTTTCCAGAACTTAGCGGTCAACTTAGACTGTGTGCTCTTTTTGCAGATGTAGTGATCCCTGAAAGCCCTGAGGCCTTTGTAAAACTCACAGAAAATGCACTCAGAGATACTTCTGGTAGGCGCCCAAAGGCAGAGCAAGCCGCTCCCCTCCCTGTAACCACCCTCCTCTCGGCACACCTGCAGTCCTCTCACTGCTTTCTGGCACAAGCATGTTGAGGCAGAACCTTCTTCTCTTACTGCTTGACTAGGGGAAAAAAAAACAAAAGTAGGCTAATCAACACCAAGAATTAGATTTCAATATGAAATGAACTATCCTCTCAACTGGTCAAATGGGACCTAGTCTCATGAGGTGTAACCTTTGAATGGCCCGGGACAGCAGAGAATAGGGAGTGCAGTGCAGTCTTCCGCTTCCGTGCACTGGCGGTCTGTGTTGTGGAAGAGTGGAGTCCCCAGGGCGGTGGTGGAACTGCCTTGAGTGGGGAGTCAGGGTACAGCCTCCGTCCCTGGCCCCTCACCTGCACACATGACCTCAGACACACTGCTTCATGCTCCTGATCTCGGGAGCCATGTGTAGATCAAGGGATGACTCCAGATGTGTAGCTCTAAAAAGATTTTGAGTTTAATTTGATAAGTTATGATTTAATGATTTTTGTTAAGAAGTCTTATAAAATAATTTGAAATGAAAAATGTATTTCCCAGCATCTTAAGGCTCAGATTTTCCTTTAAAGAAAGAACTACTTCATGGCACAAGGACAATTAAAGAAGAAACAGGCACCCGTGTTGCTTAGTGCTGCACGAAACAGGGCATAGTTCAGGGTCAGTCATTCTGGGAGGGCTGGGAATAGGGTCGTGCTGTGATGTGGCATCACAGAATTATTAGAGTACACTTACATTTAAAAAAAAATAACAGTAAATGGCTAGGAAGCAGAAGAGCATGACTGAGGTAAGGACGGGTTGAGTAATTCAGGGTAGAAGACCTCTTCGGGGCGTACTTAGGAGGCCTTTTTTTCTAGAGAAACAGTATATTTAATGAAGCTTACTAATCCTTGTTCTGCTTTCACTCGGTGCTAGCTTCACTCTGATGATCAGCGCTCTTGTTCAGTTCAAAGACTGACATAGATACATACAGAGAGATTATCCCTGGGTGGTGCAAGTGGGTAACGCACTTGGCTGCCAACTGGAAGGTTAGAGGTTCGAGTCCTGCACCCAGAGGCACATTAGAAGAAAGGCCTGGTGATCTGCTACTGCCAAATCATTCATTGCATTCATTGAAAACCCCATGGAGCCCAGTTCTGCTCTGACCCACCCAGGCTCTCCATGAGTCAGAGTCGACTCAACAGCCCTGTATATACACACACACTGTGTGTGTGAGTGTATGTTCTACTCTGGCCCACAGGGGGTCTTCATGGGTCAGAGCCAACTCAAAAACCCTATATATATATATATATGTATATATACACATGTGTTTGAGTGTGTGTGTGTGTGTGTATGTTCCGCTCTGACACACCTGGGGTCTCCATGAGTCAGAGCTGACTCAACAACCCTGTATATACATATGTATATATACACACGTGTGTGTGTATGTGTGTTCTGCTCTGACACACCTGTGGTCTCCATGAGTCAGAGCTGACTCAACAGCCCTGTATATTCATATGTATATTTTCACATGTGTGTGTGTGTGTGTGTGTGTGTGTTCTGCTCTGACACACCTGGGGTCTCCGTGAGTCAGAGCCGACTCAACAACCCTGTACATACATATGTGTGTGTGTGTGTGTGTGTATATTCACACGTGTGTGTGTGTGTGTGTATGTTCCACTCTGACACACCTGGGGTCTCCGTGAGTCAGAGCTGACTCAACAACCATATATATATTTATACACACGTGTGTGTGTCAAAGAAGTGTCGTAACTCAGAGAGAAGAGCCAGAAGTTGTAAGTCACATGTAAGAACATGCCTAAGGAAATGGTAAAATTAAAATCTTAGCTTTCTCTCGATTTGATTTTAGATTTTCACTGTTGTCATTGCTGGGTGCTGTTGAGTTCATTCCAACTTACAGTGACCCTGTGTGTTAGAGTGGAACTGCCCCATACGGTTCCTTGACGGCAATATTCGTGGTCACAGATTTCTAGTCTTTGTCCCGGAAAGCTGCTGAGTGGGTTCAAATTGCCAACCTTCCAGTTGGCAGCTGAGTGCTAAACCATTGCACCATCAGGGCTCCTTAGATTTTAATGAAAACATGTGAATGCTAATTTGAGACCATCATGCAGATGGAAGATCGTTTCTGAAGTCACTCCTTAAATGAGTCATGCAGCCTTGGGGGCCTTAGGTGGCATGATCCACTGAGGGACAGGAAGGCCCAATGTTCCCCTGCCTACAGGGCAGTGACTACAGAAAGAGCTAGAAGTAACTGCCTCGCGGTTATTGGGGAGCTGTAGGTCAACTTCAGCTTTCCGGAAAAGCCTTTCACAACTTAGCCTTCAGATTTCTGGGGGTCAAAAGTGAAGCGAGAGCAGCCCCTGAACCTGTTCAGGACAGATTGCAGGACCCTTCTGTAATGTCAGTCAGTAACGATTCATAGGGGAGCCATGGGAACTTCTAACCCCCCAGCACATCAGCACTAAATTTGCTTTATAATTACACGTGCCGTTTCTATGTGAAGATAACTGTGACGGTATCTTCAGCGTTTGTGTGGATGTCAGTCTTGAAAGGGCTGGTAAAGATTCTTATGGTTGCCGCTGCAGGAGGTCACAGCACCATGGAGTCACAGATCCGACAACTAGACAAAGCCCTGGATGATAGTCACTTCCGGATGCAGCAAACTGAGAATATCATCCGCAGCAAAACTCCCACGGGACCGGAGCTGGAGGCCAGCTACAAAGGCTACGTGAGTATCCTAACCGTCCTGATTATGATGTGCCTGAAAATCACAGTCCTGTGACAAAGCACCGTCTGTCTGTCTGTGGCGTGAGAGCTTTGTGAGTTCTCTGAACACCGTGACCCCCTGAAGTCATGGAAACTGAGGGACAAAGCAATGCCCAGTTATTAAGTCATTTGTGATAGAATGGATCTGTTTCCAGGCCCACTGCCTGGTATCATGGCCAGCCGTTCCTTGCATGGAGTGCTTGGGAAGACTTGTTTAATTGAAAACAAAATGCTTTGGATCTCAAAAGTCATTAGGCATTTTTCCAAATCCAACTAACAATTTTCAGACTATGATTATCCTTGGAGAGGCAAGTTTTAGCTAATGGTTTACTGACATGGAATTTTTTTAGGGTTTTTTTTTTTTTTTTTTTTTTTTGCCTTGGGTTATTGGTTCACTCAGTGACCTTCGGAGTGTTTTCATCCTCTATTCCTTGTATGCTCATTTTTATTCTAGAAAAAAAAAAAAATTCTGAGTAACAGGAGGGTTTAGGGAAGAGATAGCAGGAACTATGTATTATTTACAGCCCGTCTCTGCAGTTATTATGGAATATGTAATAACTATTAGCTCGGCTCAAGTTACTGAACAAATAATTTTCCCCTGAGAGCTAGTTGTTCTTTTAACACATGCTCTAAACAAGAGAATTTGAAAGGAAATCTCGTTCCTGCCTCAGAGCTGCTGTTCACATCCCAAAACTGCTAAGTGAAAGGAGAGAAAAAGTGTTTTTCTTGTTAGTTGCCATCAGGCTGGGTCCCACTCCCGGTGTTATGTGTAACAGAATGAAGCATTGTGCTGTCCTCACAGTCACTGGTGTGTTCAACCCAGTGTGGTAACTGTATCTACCAGGGTTTCTTTGGCTGATTTTTTTCAGAAGTAGGTCACCAGGACTTTCTTCCTAGTTTGTCTTAGTCTGGAAGCTCTACTGAAGCCCATCCACCCTGCATGACCCTGCTGGGATTTGAAATATTGGTGGCACAGCACAGGCCACCACAGTAGGATAACCTGACAGACAGATAGTGGTGGTCCTTTGAAAACTAATTTTCTCTAATTCTACTCACAGCTCCTGTGCACTATGTTTTAAAACTGGAGATGAGAACGATTCTAGCTGTATATGCTTATGTTAGTATCTTCACGTTTACACAAGAGTAATGAATTTCTTTTCTGTTGAGTTTAGCCTGTTATACCAACTAGGAGTAAGTGAAACCTGTCCTCTTTCCGGGATGATATGGTTGTATAATGAGCATGTTAGCATCACTGAAGGTGTGCTTAACCTTAATCAAAAGGAATAAGTAAATTAATAGCATTTGGACTTGTTAAAGGGTTTGAAAGATAACTTCAAGTTCAGTGTTACAGGAGTGTCTTGAAATGATTTGTCCTTTTAATCTATGACTACTGTGCATGATATTAAAAATGATGTTGGAAGCTTTTTCTTTGAAATTAGGATTTAGTCCTTTAATATCTATTAAACTACTTAAATTTCCTCATGCAACATCCAGCTTTAATATTGCTTTAAGCTTTTAAATATCTTAATTATTTAATGCAAAAAAAGAAGTTCCTGTGACATTTGTGGTCATATTATTATAAAATGATATTATACTATTCGTGATAATATTATTAATGTTCCCACCTTTTAGTTGAAGGTCAGGAAAGGGAGAACAACTTGCCAAAAATTATATCTTGCGTTGTTGACTGAGGACTCTGAGTTTTAGACCCACATTGAATTAGTCTGTTTCAATTTGTGAATTTAAAAGAACTTTTGAGGACATCTGCCACACGAAATTATATCAGCAAAGTATATCTTAAAAGATTGCTTTTCAGTATACATGAATCTGTCACCTGTTAAAAAACATGCCTTGCACCGTGAGCTCAATTTGAACACAGTAGCATCATCTCCACAGCGAATTTAAACACGGCACAGAGCTTGTTGAGAAACTGCACGGTGATTTTCCCCAGAATCTCCTGGCTGGTGAGAAGTGTGGTCATAGGGGCCTGTGTTTTATGTCTGAACAGATGAAGCTGTTGGGAGAGTGCAGCGGCAGCATCGACTCGGTGAAGAGGTTGGAGCACCAGCTCAGGGAGGAGGAAGAGCCTTTCGCCGGCTTTGTTAACCTGGACAGCACCGAAACCCAGACGGCTGGTGAGGAAGCAGCGTCAGTTCCAGGAGTGACAGAGAGAGGCCCGAACCACTTGGTGACACCTTGTGTCTTAGCTACCTAGTGCTCTTGTAGCAGAAATAACCTAAGCGGGTGGCTTTCGACAACAAATGTATTTCCTCACAGTTCTGGAGGCAAAAAGTCCAAATCAAAGTCTTGGCTATGTCAGTTCCTTCCTTGTAGGTGGTGTTGTTAGGCTCCAACTCATAGCAACCTTATGTACAAAAGAACAAAACACTGCCCAGTCCTGTGCCAGCCTCACAATTCTTGCAGATAGTTGTGGGCATTTCCTGACTCCTGGGCTTGTAGACAATCCTCACATGGTGTCTGTCTTCCCCTGTGTGTGTGTGTGAATCTACTCTGACGCTCTTATAGCTCAGAAGTGATTAAGTTTAAGATCTCCTGCACATTGGTATGACCTCAGATGACTCACTGATTACACCACATTAGATTGAAGGTAATCTGCTCTACCCAATGCCAACTAATTTAACCACATGTAAGTATTCCATGACAACAGCCAGACTAGTGTTTGACTGTCACTGGGAATCAGAGCCTTACCGTGTTGACACACAAAATTAACCATCACATGGTGCTTGAGGTCATTCTACACTATTCTGTCCTGAGACCTTTTTTTCCATGTTCTTTTTGTTTTAATGCACCATCTCAAATACACGGAGTCAGGCATTTTATGTATGGGCTCTCAGAGTCCTGTTGTAGATAGGAACCAAGAATTGATATCTTTGTGCACATAACCTATGTAATTATTATTATTATTACTCCATTACATTAAAAATGCAGACAGGAAAAGCAGAGCCATATACTGCTATCTACCTCGGAAGGAAGATGGGGCAATCTACTTCTGTAGTGATACCGCTTCGGAAACCCAAGGAGGGGTCGCTATGAGTCGGGTCCGACTCGACGGCACATAACAACAACAACAACAACAACAGATGCCAACAACTACAGAAATAAATGCCCAAGGGAAAACCTATTGTTTTCTGTTGCTCATTGACATTAGCCACCAATTTGTGTTGAACACATTTCCTAAATGTCATCTGTTCTGTGCATGTCTTGCCAGGTGTGATTGACCGGTGGGAGCTCATACAGGCCCAGGCACTAAGCAAGGAACTGAGGATGAAACAGAACCTCCAGAAGTGGCAGCAGTTCAACTCGGACTTGAAGGACATCTGGGCCTGGCTGGGAGAGATGGAGGAGGAACTGGAGCAGCTACAGCGCCTGGAGCTCAGCACTGACATCCAGACCATCGAGCACCAGATAAGGAAGCTCAAGGTCGCTGCCTTAGCCTTCCCCAGGGTGTCAAACAAAAGCTACCGCATGGGATGCCTGCTCAGATTCAATCGCTAATTCCAGCTGTTTCACTCTTACACCCCAACCACAAAATGAGACTTACTGCCATCAAGGCAGTTCTAACTCCTGGCGCCCCCATGTGCTGTGGGGTAGAAATGCTCCCTAGGGCTTCCTTGCTGGAACCTCTGTGGAAGCACATAGCCGGGCCTTTCTTCATAGCACCACTAGGTGGGCTCAAACCACTAGCCTTTGGGTTCGTAGTTGAGCTCCAACCCTTTGGCCACCCAGGGACCTTCAGCTGTTACACAGCAACAGCTAAATTGCCTATCAAAATTGAAAAAGAAGGCTATTCTGAACCCTAACCATCCCATAGCAGAGCTTTTTATAAAGAGGGTTTTGAAGACCAGAAAGATGGACCACATTCTAGAACTTTCCACCTACATCAATAATCACATAAAATTTAATGAGTTGGTATTTAAGAAATGATCAGTTTCTTGAAACATCCAGACACATCTGGGTCTGATTTAACCTATTTGGAAGAGAAACACAGATGATGATAAGGACCTGCAAATTTGCCATCTTGAGCTAGAGAGCAGTCCTCTCCAGGATTGAATCTGCGTGAGTTTGTGGGAGGCTTAATGAAATAGTTTCACCTTCTTGAATCAGCAGAGCTTCCCAAAATCGATGATGATAGTGGCAGAAGCATTTCTACTGTAATGAAAACAAAATAAAACTATGGCACAATTATGATAAGTGTGGGCATTATTGGTTCAGTGGTAGAACCCTCACCTTCTATTCAGGAGATCCAAGTTTCATTCCAGGCCAATGCACTTCATGCCCAGCTCCCAGCCATCTGGTAGTGGAAGCTCCCATGTTGCTATGATGCTGAACTTCAAGATGAATAGATTAGAAAGAAAAGCCTGGTGATCAACTTGCAAAAATTAGCCAGGAAATATCTGTGGATCACCCCAGTCCTGTACACAGCCAGTCATGGGTATGGGGCTATGCTTTGTTCTGTTGTGCGTGGGGTTGCCATGACTCACCGGCCAATGAAATGTTACCTGATAACACCAACAGATATGGTCAAACGTTTATACTTGATTTTGGTTGAGGTCAGTGTAGTACACAGATGTTGTTGTTAGGTACCATCAAGCTGGTTCTGACTCAGCGACCCTGTGTACAACAGAGCAAAACGCTGCCCAGTCCTGAAGCAGCCCACAATCGTTGCAGTGTTTAAGCTGATTGTTGGCGACCACTGTGTCAATCCACCTCACTGAGGGTCTTCCTCTCCTTATGCTGACGCTCTTCTTTCCCAAGCATGATATCCTTCTTCAAGGAATGGCCCCTTCTCACCACATGACCAAAGTACAGGAGACAAAGTCATGCCATCCTCACTTCTACAGAGCGTTCTGGCTGCACTTCTTTCAAGACAGGTTTATTCTTCTTCTGGTACCGTTCGTCCTCAAGGTGACATCTTTGCTTTGGAACACTTTAAAGAGGTCTTTTGTAGCAGATTTGCCAATGCAATACGTCATTTCATGACTTGACTGCTGCTTCCATGAGCAGTGATTATGGATCCATGTAAAATGAAATCCCCGACAACTTCCATCTTTTCTCCATTTATCATGATCTTGCTTATTGGTCCTGTTGTGAGTATTTTTGTTTATGTTGAGGTGGAATCCATACTGAAGGCCGTAGACTTTGATCTTTATCAATAAGTTCTTCAAGTCCTCTTTATTTTCCCGCAAACAAGATAGAGAAGATAACTTCTTAACAACATTGCTAGATATTAAAATTCCTCCTTAGTCCAGCTACTAAGATGCATTAATATGCAGAGATTTTACTGCGGACTGAGAGCTTGGTTCCTCTTTCGTAGCTTTGTGCTGTTTTGTCTGGACAGCATCAAGATGTGCTCCTCGTCGGAATGTAGTTACTCAGACTCTCTAGTCTCGGGTTAAGTGTGCTGTTCTTCTGTTTCTATGGGTTTACTGTAGGCTATTTATTGTGGGTTGATGTTTTTGTGTCTTGCACTTGGTTGTTGTGTCATTTTATTTCAAAATTCTGAAGATAGAAAGAAGTCTTTCCACAGATTCTCAAACAGCTGCATCTTTATCGAATAGCCTTAGCACTAGGTCCACCAGTTTCAGATAGAACCATTAGATATCTCTGTCCTTAATATCTAAATTATGCAATGTGATTTTCTGTACAGTACCTAAATTACTCCCACTCCTCTCTGGGAAAAGGAAGGTAATATTGCTGTTGGAAGCCAATTCCTTGAAGATTTGGTGAAGTAAATGCAAGATTCTTGTTTTTAACTGCCGTCAAGTTAGCTCCACCTCCTGGAAAGCCCACATACAACAGACTGAAGCTTTGCCCATCCTGCATGATCTTCACATCCATTGATATGCTCAAGCCTATTGTTCCAGCCACTGTGTATTTTGAGTGCTTTCCAATCTAGGGGACTCATCTTCCAACAGCATATTGGACAGTATTCTGTTGTGATCAATAAGGTCCTCATTATCTGATTAGTTTGCCAGGTCTTTCTTCCTAGTCTGCCTTAGTTTGGAAGTGTCGCTGAAACCTGTCCACTACTGATGACCCTGCAGGTATTTGAAATATTGGTAGCATAGCTTCCAGTATCACAGCAACATGCAAGCCATCATAGCACAACAAACTGGCAATGGTGCTTAGTGAAATAAGGGCAGGTAATAAGGCCTGGAAAAGTCAGCCCATCTGATAGGAAACTGTATATCTCTGCACACCTTCCTGATCCTTTCTACTTATGTTTTCTTTCAATATACTGATGGGATAACCAAGTATCTTTCCACAATATTTCTTGATCTTATGCTGTTTCTGTGGTTCAATCTATATTTCATCATGTTAAGAACCTACGTAGAAGTGAAGTATTAAGATACTGGAAACATTTCAGGGCTGATGAGAAATTTTAAGAAAAGGTGGCCTGGGTAGATGTGATATCCAGGACCACTCACCATAATGCAACCTGGGGATGTTTAAATGGTACCAGGTAAGATCATCATGAGGAGCTCTGGTAGCATAGTGGCTAAGGCACTTGACTGCTAACCAGAAGGCTGGTGGTTCAAACCCACCAGCCACTCCTCGGAAGGAAGGTTGGGCAATCCTACTTCCGTAGTGATACTGCCTCGGAAACCCAAGGAGGGGTCGCTATGAGTCAGAGCTGACTCGACGGCACATAACAACAACAACAACAAGATCATCATGAGCTCAAGTCCTTGGAATTTAACTCTGAATTTTTTTCAAAATACACAAAGCTGGAAATCCACTGCCTGGTTTCTGTGGAAACAAATGAAGTTGGCCAGCTGATGAAATATCCATTTCACTCTCTTTACCATCACATAAACATGGCCCAGGCCCAAGTGGGGTTGCCAGGGGCCATCCACTATTCATTTGTGCCTATAGACTCCAACCATGTAGTGCTTGTGGCCTGGGAATCTTTCTCAACAAACTCTCCACCTTATACAAATCTGAGTACCACTGATCTAGGAGAATGGAGACCTCCCACCGTGGTTCTTGTTTGCTTGGTCTTGGTTGAGCTTTCATGCAGGGGTGCAGTTAATAGCATTCCTTAGTTCATTGTGCAGGGTCATCATGGATCCCTGCAAGGCTCCTCTTTGTTTTTTATTGTCTTCTCATTTTTTCTCCATTCTTAATCTCCATTCCCCCAACCATTCTGAAGTATTTAGTGAGCATTCTTTATTCCTGTATGATCTGGAAACATAGGGATTTGGCGTGTATATCCCTGCATGTACTTTAAATTACAAATGCTATCATGTTACTCATCTCATTCTGTTTCTGGTTGCTTCACTCTACACCATGTTTTCCTAAGATTCATATGTGTTGTCAAGGGTTCATCTCACCCGTCTCTTCTAATGGTTGCATGATCCCCAGTGGCGTGCACCCACCATATTTTTCTGTTGTTTTGGGTGATGTTTATGGTGGTTGTGTTGATTCCAATCCATGGTGACCCCATGTCTGCAGAGTAGAACTGATCCATAGGGTTTTCAAGGCCATGACCTCTTGGAAACTGATCTCCAGGCCTTCTTCTGAGGCATCTCTGGGAGGATTGAACTGCCAACCTTTTGGTTAGAAGTCCAGTGCTTAACTGTTAGCACTACACAGGGATCCTGTCAAGGCCAATTTTAATTAATGACCCTTTCATTTTGGTAGAGGACTGGTTTCTTATCACAGGCTGACTTTCTAGATCTCATTTCAAGGGTCTTAAACTACTTTCTGAAAATGTTTTTCTCATGATTGTCCTTGTTTGATTGGTCTCCTTTCTCTTTGCAGGAACTGCAGAAAGCACTGGACCACCGCAAGGCCATTATCCTCTCCATCAACCTGTGCAGCTCCGAGTTCACACAGACTGACAGCGAGGAGAGCCGGGATCTGCAAGACCGCCTGTCCCGGATGAACGGGCGCTGGGACCGTGTGTGCTCTTTGCTGGAGGAGTGGCGGGGCCTGCTCCAGGATGCACTGATGCAGTGCCAGGTCGCTGGGGCCTGGGAGGACGGTTCTGTCCAGTCTAGCACTTATAGTGTAGCTTATTCTGTGACTTGACTGAACATGCTTAACAAAGCAATTGCTGTCAAGTCAGTTCCAACACATGGCTGGCAACCCTATGTGTGTCAGAGTAGAACTGTGTGCTCAATAGTGTTTTTTATGGCTGACTTTTCAGAAGTAGATTGCCAGGACTTTCTTACAAGGCATCACTGGGTATATTTGAAGTCAGCAGCTGATCACGTTGACCATCCAAACTGCTCAGGGGCTTCCCAGAGTCAGTATTTGAGTGAGATAACCATGCCCAACTCTTTCTTTTACTATAATATTTGTACATGTGGTCACAGATCCAAAGGCTCTCGACTCCATCTTCTTTTCAGCTAAGATGAGACTATCCCCACAAGTTTATTTGAGCCCCACATTCCTTCTTTCGCACATTCATTTATTTCATTCATTTGTTCAACGAATGTTTACTGAGCACTATGCACATATTTCTTGAACATCAGAGTGAGCATTGCACACATTTAGTCATCCATTCTTCCCACCATTTTTGGCTGATAGTCCAATGTATGATGATATTGTTCTAAGCAATTGGGTTGCAGTGTGGACAGGAAAGACTGACAATGAAAATGCAAGCAAATAACTGATTGAAAGTCTTCGCTTTCAATCACCCTGTACTTTAGCAAGCATGATGTCCTTCTCCAGGGACTTGTCCCTCCTAAGAACATGGCCAAAGTATGGAGATGAAGCCTTGCCATCCTCGCTTCTGAGGAGCATTCTGGCTGTCCTTCCAAGACAGATTTGTTCATTTTTCTGGCAGTCCACTTTATATTCAGTATTCTTTGTCAACACCACAATTCAAAGACCTCAGTTCTTCACTCTTCCTTATTCATTCTCCAGCTTTCGCAATTTGCTATTGTAAGAATGGAAATTAAGTACAAGCTGTTAGGAAAGAAATGTATATTATGTAAAGTTGTTTTACACTCCGATATGTTTTGCAGGATTTCCATGAAGTGAGTCATGGTTTGCTTCTGATGCTGGAGAATATTGACAGAAGGAAAAATGAAATCACCCCTATTGATTCTAACCTTGACACTGAGATACTCCAGGATCACCACAAACAGCTCATGGTAGGTGGGATGTGTGAGCTCTGGTGAACTGCTAGCTGTTTTTTGCAGGGTTCCATTCCACTTAAAGAAAATGTGTAGGTTGTAACATTTTTTCACCTTTGCGTTATGATCTCTAACTTATGCATTTTTTACACATACACAGAAGATGGCATCTGCTAGTTTTATACTCTTTTTCTAAAGTCATTGCTTAATAGTGAAAATCTTAGATGTTCTTAATCTCAATTAGCTTGTATTTATTAAGGCAGCTCTGCTAACCAGATGTTGGCAGTTCAAACCTACCAGCCCCTCCATAGAAGAAAATTGGGCAATCTGCTTCCATAAAGATTTACAGCTTTGGAAACCCAATGGGGGCTACTGTGAGTCAGAACCGACTCAGTGGCAGTGAGCTTGTTTTTTTGTGTGTTATTTTTTGGTGAATGACTTTTGTTTTTAATTTAAATATTACATGGTAAATCTGTGCCCCAAAAGTATATGTGGTGGTTTATAATAAAAGGACACTGTTTTTGTTTTTTTTTAGTTGCCATCGAGTCGGTTCTGACTCATGGTGGCCCTATGGATGCAGAGCAGAACTGCTCGCCAGGGTTTTCAAGGCTGTGGCTTTTGGGAAGCAGATTGCCAGGCCAGTCTCCTGAGGCACCTCTGGGTGGGTTTAACCTGCCAGTCTTTGGGCCAGTAGTCAAGCACTTAAACATTTTGTCACCTGGGGACTCTTAAAAGGACACTAAAACTATTTTATTTATTTTTATTATTTATTTAGTTAGTTAGTTCATATTTGCAGTGTTTCCTCCCCTCTCCTCCCACCCCTGGTGACTAGCAAAGAAAGTTTCCTTCATATATAAACCTTTCCTTGTCTTTTTACAATAATGAACTAATACAATATTTGTCCTTCTGTGATTGACTTCTTTCACTCAGCATGATGTCTTCCAAGTTCATCCATGTTATGCAGCATTTTGTAGATTCTACATTATTCTTTAGGGTTGCATAGTATTCCATTGTGCGTATGTACCATAGTTTGATTATCTATTCTTCTGTTGATGGGCAGCTAGGTTGTTTCCATCTTCTTGCTACTGTAAATAGTGCTGTTATGAACATGAGTGTGCACATATATGTTCTTGTCCTGGCCCTCACTTCTTTAGGATGTATACCTAGAAATGGTATTGCAGGATCAAATGGTATTTCTAATTCCAACTTTTTAAGGAATCACCATACTGCTTTCCACAGTGGTTGTATCATTTTACAGTCCCACCAGCAGTGTATGAGAGTCCAAGTCTCTCCATATCCTCACCAGCATTTGTTATTTTCTGTCTTGTTGAATTTTGCTACTAGTGCTGGGGCCACATGGTGGTCATTGTTGTTTTGATTTGCATCTCTCTGATGGCTAATGATCGTGAGCATTTCTTCATATGTTTGTTGGCCACATGAATATCTTCTTTGGTGAAGTGTCTATTCATGTCTTCTGCCCATTTTTTAATTGGATTGTTTGTCCTTTTGTTGTTGAGGTATTGCAGTTTTCTTTAAATTCTAGAGATAAGTCCCTTGTCAGATATGTTGTTTCCAAATATTTTTTCCTAATCTGTAGGTTTTCTTTACACTCTTTTGGAGAAGTTCTTTGAAGCACATAAAAAATTAATTTTTAGAAGGTCCCATTCATCTAATTTATCTTCAGCTGTTTGTGCATTTTGGGTTATGCTTGCTAGTCTATTTATGCCATAAATTAGGGCCCCTAATGTTACCCCTAGTTTTTCCTTGAGGAACTTTATAGTTTTAGGTTTCACATTTAAGTCTTTTATCCATCTGGAGTTAGTTTTTGTGTATAGTATGAGATACGGATTTTGTTTCGTTTTTCAGCAAATGGATGTCCAGTTTTGCCAGCACCATTTATTAAAGAGATCATCTCTTCCCCCATTTAATGGATTTCAGCACTTTGTCAAAAATCAGCTGACCATAGGTTGATGGATCTATTTCTGGGTTCTCAAAACCAGCCACTCCTCAGAAGGAAGGTTGGGCACTCTACTTCTGTAGTGATACTGCCTCGGAAACCCAAGGAGGGGATGCTGTGAGTTGGAGACGACTCCATGGCAGTATGTTTGGTTTATTTCTGGTTTAATTTTGTTCCACAGGTCTAGGTGTTTGTCATTGTACCAATACCAGGCTGTTTTGACTACTGTGGCTGTTTTGAGATCTAGAAGTGTGAGAGCTCCTACTTTGTTCTTCTTCTTCAACAGTGCTTTGCTTATCCAAGGTCTCTTTCCTTTCCATATAAATATGGTTTTTCCATATCCTTAAAGAAAGTTGATGGGATCTGGATTGGGATTGCATTGAATGTCTAGATTGCTTTGGGTAGTATTGACATTTTCACAGTGGTCAATCTTCCTATCCATGAGCATTGTTCTTCCATTTATGTGGATCTCTTATGGTTTCTTGAAGTAGTGTTTTGTAGTTTTCTTTGTAGAGGTCTTTTGTGTCCCTAGTGAGATTTATTCACAAGTATTTTATTTTTTTGGTAGCTATTGTGAATGGTATTGATTGCCTTATTTCCTTTTCAGCAATCTCATTGCTGGTGTAGAGAAATCCAACTGATTTTTGGATGTTGATCTTATATCCTGCCATGATGCTAAATCTCTCAATTAATTCCAGTAGTTCTAAAAGGACACTAAAACTATTGAAAGAGAAAGAGACAGTTAAGACTTCTTAAGAAGGATTAAATATAACTTGGTTATACATTAACCCTAGCACCAAGTTTTCTGAAAGCTAAAAAGCAAAAAAGGAATTGTGGGTTAAATTACTTTCATTTTCTGTCCAAAAAAAAAGCACGCCCTTTGTCAAGGAGCAATCAAGTTATTTCTAGCACTAAATTCAAAATGAAATTTATCATGCAGATTCTTACACAAGGAACTTTGAACAATATAATTTAATTACAGGGTTTTTAACACTGATTTTATAGGAAATAAGAAAACATATTTGAGTTTCTTTAGGAGAAAATGCTTTGCGTTTTGTAACTTTCTGTATTTTTAAAACGCTGTGCTTTAGCATCCAATATTTACTAACCTAAGCTACAAAATCTCTTGGCACCTTTTAATTCAATACCGTAAGCATCTGAGAAACCAAGAGGAAATGGCTGTGCAGCTAGGTTTTCACCAGACTTGTAACCTCAGACACTGTGCTGTGAATGATGAATCACCCATATAGCTTTTTAGAAGTCTCGAGCTGACATCAGAGTATACCTTGATGGATCTGAGCCATGCTGTATTTAGACTTAGTGTTTTACTTTTCAATTGAAAAGACTATCTATGTCTCATTTACATAATACTTCACATTTGAAGAACTTCCACGTATATTAATCAACCCACCAGCCACTCCTTGGAAGGAAAATGGGACTCTACTTCCATAGTGATACTGCCTTAGAAACCCAAGGAGGGGTTGCTATGAGTCGGGTCTGACTCAATGGCACATAACAACAACAACAGCAACAATAATACTTACTGTGAACCAGGCAAGGAGCAGTTACTAGATGAAAAAACCTATACCTATACCAGACAGGTTCAGGGACCTTGTAGGATATTTTTGGTGAAGGCAGGGTTAGAACACAGGTCCCTGGTTCCCATTCCATAAGCTGCTAGAGCCTTCTGTGTGTGTGAGTACAGTGTTCTGAAGATCAGGAATAATCACTTACTCAATTACACTTATGTCATTCTGCACTTCTGGAACTTTCTCTAATTACTGAAAATTATTACAAAAATAATTTTTACCATCTACATAGCAAATAAGGCATGAGCTGTTGGAGTCCCAACTAAAAGTGGCCTCACTTCAAGACATGTCTTGCCAACTGTTGGTGAATGCCGAAGGGGCAGATTGTTTGGAAGCAAAAGAAAAAGTTCATGTTATTGGAAACCGGCTTAAACTTCTCTTGAAGGAAGTCAGCCATCATATCAAGGACCTGGAGAAGCTGTTAGACATGTCAAGTAGCCAGCAGGTAAGCATCCCCCAGAAAGCATTGTGTAGCCTTTCTGTGTGACACCAGAGGAACCTCATTGTCTCAGTTGCAGAAAGACTTTACATGTAGTCCTTGTCACAATGGAGTGTCAACTCTCAATCATGGCTCTTATAAGTTCTGTCTCAAGAAAATGGACTTGTAAACTTCCAAACTGCTTTGTATAATACTTTCAATACTATTGAACCCAAAGACCTCTTCCACTTATTACTACTAGCCCTTTGACTACCACTTACTCCATAGGATTTTATTTCACCCCGTTTAAGAATTTGCACAGGTATGGTAGGACCCAACCAATTGTTGTATACAAGTTTTGAACATCCTATAAGGCATGGACTCTCCTTACATATATTTCATAGTAATTATTTCATAGGCAATTTCCTCTGTTCATCCATGTTTTGTATTTATTCCTAAATCTACTCCATCATGGTGGTATTATTGATGTTGAGATATGTATTAGCAGGTATAGAAAGGAGCTTTGGTGATGTAGTGCCTAAGGTATTTGACTGTTAACCAGAAGGTTGGCAGTTCAAACCCAGGAAGACTGGGCAATCATCTACTTCTGTAAAGATTTACCACCTTGGAAACTCTAAAGGGGTTGCTATGAGTCAGAATCGACTCGGTGGCAGTGAGTTTGGCTTGGTTTTGGTTGATATACAAATGTTTAGTAAGACTTTAGACGTTCAATTATAAAATCCTATCAAGAACATATATTTTGTTCTATAAGCATAGAACAGAGCAGTCCACTCCAAGTAACAGAAGCACAAACATAATTTATCTAATGCTAAGTGGTTGCTGTTGTTGTGTGTCATTGGGTCAGTTTTTGACTCATGGCAACCCCATGTGACAGAGTAGAATTTCTCCACAGAGTTTTCTAGGCCATAATCTTTATGGGAGTGGATCACCTGGTCTCTCTCAGGGAGCCATTGGGTGCGTTTAAATTGCCTCCATTGTGGTTAGCAGCCACTCACATAACTGTAACACCACCAGGGCTCCTTTCAGTGATAGACAGTAGCTCCTGGATAACTGTCGTTTGTTTTTGACTCAAATGAATTTGTTTCTCTCTGACCAGAGAGACCTCCAGCTGTAAGGTGGCCTCTCCTTCACCTCCTAAACTCACATTAACTCACACATCCAAGTCACTAAGGAATAGTAGAGCTACAGGTAAAACAGGAATAACAAAGCTATAGCTATATTTTCAAGGACATTTACAACCAGGAGTTTACAATGTACTAGAATTGGGTCCCATCTTCTTATACTTACTTGAACCCATTTTTCCCAAGGAATCGTTTGACTGTTAGAGGGGTGGATGGAGTGGGAACTACACTGTTTATTACAGAGCCTGCCTAGCTCTGGGACAAGGAGTTATTGAAGGAATGCTTACTGGAGGCCTGTGTCCCATGTAGGATTTGTCATCCTGGTCTTCTGCTGATGAACTGGACACCTCAGGATCCATGAGCCCTACATCAGGAAGGAGCACCCCAAACCGACAGAGAACGGTAACTTTCCACTGTCATTTTGAATCAGCCCATGGGAGGGGTCACTGGAGTGCCTACATTATTGCTGGCTACCACAAGGTCCATAGACTCACCCCACAAAGCAGGAGTTCCCACACAGAAAAGGGTGTCAGAGAGTGTAGCACTGCTTCTTCAGCCCTTCCACGTGCCCTCCCTGCATGGACTCAGGAACGGAAGAGTGGTTCTGTTTTTTCAAAAAATGCCAGGGCTCAAAGTGTGGTTGGTATGCAGGGAGGCCAGTTATTTTGATTGTTCTAGAATGGTGCTCATTTGTCCCTTTGGTGGCTGCCTCCTTCAAACCACCACCCCCATGTTCACCTGTAGAGTAACATACCACTTCATGAAGTGCCTCTACCTAGAGGTGAACCAAAGTGTGACTTTCTTCTGAGACCACTGAATGTATAAGACAAGCAGAAGTTGTATTGACCCTCAAGCAAAGATGCTCCTGAGTGGGGTCCTCAAAGTTTTCTGCAGCTCCACTGCCTCTAATGTGGCAACAAGTCAAGTCCACTGAAGGTCTGTGGTGAGGGCTGCCTCACTGGACCACAGCAAAGATGCAAAGACAAATTTGGCCCCTGCTACCCTCTATACCTTGATTTCTCTGTGTAATTAGAAGCTTGTTTTGTTTCTGTTTTTTGTTTTTAGTCCAGCTTCATGATTATATTCATTTTTTATTATCATTCCATTTTCCTTAGTTTTTAGAGTTTTGATTTTATTTGTTCTTTTTTTTTTTTTTTTGTCATAAACACTTAAGTTCTATGCTGATGAATGTTATCTTTTTTAGGGTTTTTTCTTTATTTAATTTTACTACATTCACTAGTTTCCTATAGATCCTAGTTTGAGAATGTGAAGGAACACTGGCTTTTTGAGTTGAATTTTAACCTATATGTAACTTAAGTATTGGAGTTGTTGAATCTTCATCACTCTGCAAAGAACAATCACATATGACTGTTATTGCTTCTCTACTAAGCATCTTTAAAATGCTTCAGTGTTCTACAAAATGGAAAAAAAATTTTCATTTAAAGTATCTTTGAAATATATGGTATGGTATAGTGAATTATATACTTATTATAAGTAAATATACAGAGATCCTTCAGTACAGTTAAGTCATTTATGTTTCGACCATGAAAAATCAGAAAAAAACTGCAGTGTGGACTTAAGCTCCACAGTCTATATTTCTTCAATGACTAATAATATAAATGTAAACTTATGTCATTTCTTCAATGAAAGAAAAGCCAGTTTCCTTGAGGCACGAATACTGACGATCATTTTTTTCGATTTTGCCTTTGCTGCACTCCTAGTTTAATTTTCATCAGTAGCTTGTCCTTATTTGCCTGGACTGAACATTCTTCTTTCTTTACCCCCTGTTCATTGCAAACAGCCACGAGGCAAATGTAGTCTCTCCCAGCCTGGACCCTCTGTCAACAGTCCACATAGCAGGTACCTTATTCTCCTGGTTTCCACACTGTTCTAGAATTCCAAGAGGATGATGAAAATAGCCCATGACCTAGGTAGGCCCATGCCGGGTCTGCCCTTGAGTCATTGGGAAATGACTCATCTCAATCCCCACCCTTTCCTAATCAATTGGATAGGACTTACCTAATTCTCAAAACATCAATTATTTGGACCCTACCAAATTTGTGTTTAACTGTACAAAAGCCAACTGGTGCTTCTTATCCAACGGTATTGTGGGTGTACACAAAAGGATTCCATACAACTGCATACACCATCATCTAGTCATGGCAGACTTTCATCATCCTCTTTAGTTCTAGATTTTACAATGAGACAGGTCATAGATCGATTAATTACCTTACCATTCACAGAACCCACACATCTGAATAAAATATACTAACATCCCCAGCTCTTTCTTTTATTTTCCTGTTTTATCCAGATTGTGGGTTTTGGATTCTCAAAATGGCAAGTCTTGATTTGGTTCTCTTCATTTAAAACTTACAAGCACCTCTCTCTTCTGCTTATCCTAACACCACTCTCAGCCAGCATATCCAGGCCCTCACTCACCTTCCTGACACTTGGCAAGCCCTTTGGCTCTGAGAATAAGCCCAGTGCCCCGACCACAGCTCCTCCCGAGGGCCTACCTACCTCACTTTGTGCTTTACCCCTGCCTCCAGCAACCCCTCATCTTCACAGCTCGCAGTGCTTTGCCTTGTTGTCATGGGTGTGACGTCTGCTCTCCTTATCTCTTCCACCAATCAGTCCCCAGGTCCTCAGACAACTTTTCTCAAGATCCTCTGTCCTCAGAGCTGATTTTTAATGCTAATCCCAAGCTGTATACTGTTGAAGTCCTTTGTCCCTTTGGAAGATTATCACCACTGAGCAGGAAGTGAAATTCCTGGAAGGAGGGTGGGAGATGAAGATGCCTTGGACTGTAAACAAGCCCTGAGTCATCCTTTCAGGTCCCAGCTGTGTGCTAAATTGGCCCGGCTATCTTATGTGGTCATTCTCACTCAGCTGAAGTATTGCAGAATGTCCCTCCATGTGCTTTCTTGTTTTAAGTCTCCTTTGACAATTTTTTTTCTTTCCATTTGGTTTGATTTGAAGACAATTTGTTTTTGTTTTTGTTTTTCCTCCATGGCAAAATATCAATAATAAAATATGGATAAAAGAAGTTTCACAGGGACTTTTGGAGATAATGATGGACATCCATAGGTGCTTTGATATTTTCTTAGCACCCTACTTAAAAGGAAAAGATAATCGTGTGTTAAATATTCCATCTTCTCCCCACAAATTGCTGATGTGCCATGAACTAAGACCAGAACTATCCCCATAGCACTCCCTTTAGGATCCCAGAGGTCCATTCTTTGGATAATACCAATGATGATAACGAGAAGGTCAAAAGCCTTTATGTCCAACACCAAGAGCAACCACCCTTTGGTTCCTAGTTTGGAAGCTGATTTCTGCCAGATAAGTCTACTCAGAAATACCACATCTCTCTGCTCCCCCAAGTCTCTCAGGCATGCAGAATCTGAGATCTCAGAATCTCAAAGGAATCGTTTCTTAGGGCAGCAAGTGTTACGACATGTCTCCTAACAGGCTTTGCAGCTGGGGCAGCCACCTTCTCACTATGACATCTGCAAGGCGCCTTTCAACTCTGCTTTGTCCAGCACTGTTTATTAACATCTTTCTGATCATACAGCACACTGTCCAATTTGTTACTCGGGGAGGGGGTCATGGAATACAAACACACTTCGCCTGAATGGCAAACATCCAAAACCTCAGCAGGCAAGTTATGGTTGAACGTGCTTGGACTTCATAACGACTTGGCACCTCAGTTTGGGGGCACCCAACGCGGATGATGAAGTGCAGAGTCTGCTGGGAGAGAATTACCTTCACCCACAATACGGGCTGTCATGGTGTTCCTTAACAGTGAGACTTGTGAGTACCTTGGCTTTCATCTTGCACTGGTCCAGCAAATTTGGAAGGTTCTTGTACAAGCAAAATTTAAAAGGTTGACCCCAACAGTCTGCCATAGGAAACTTTGAGACATGAATTTCCAAAGAGAGGAAAGAGGCTGAGTTGGAAGAAAGTGGTGTTAGTTTGAAGGCAAGGGTTTCCTATATGTGTTTTATTGTTTAAAGCCAGATATATTAATGCTGTCAGTTGCTTGTGTACCACATGTCAGTGTGTTCTGTCTCCTCTTACATATTGTCCTAAACATATATATGGATTGATGCCAGCATTTGCTGAACACCTTCTATGCATAGGCCCTGGGCCTACAAATTCAGACACCGTGGCTCCTGCTGTTAAAACACTTGCAGCAGATAAGAACCAGAGAACTGAATGTACAAGAAGGTGTATGAAAAAAAAAAAATCTGTGCCTACATTCACAATAACTATATTCATATCTTTTTGTTTGAGGTGAAACACATTTTAGAAGCATACTTTTTGAAGCAATGCTTTTAATGGTCCTGTTAGTACATTTTCCTACTTCTGACTTAAAATTTTCTGACCAATAACTCCTTCAAATTCTACTGTAACTTACTAGAAGCTGACAAATGGTAAGATTTCACTCCAGTTTCCAGCAAGGGCAAAGGAATAATTCCTCTGTAGTCTGCAGGGAGTGAGTGAATGCCTTCATTCTGAAACTGAGAATTGTAAAATGCTAAATTGCCCTGGACACCTTCAGTGTCTGGAACCTTCTACAAGAACTAAGATGAACTGAGAAGTGGCAAAGGACCAGCTACAACACTAAAAGGGAGGGGGAAAAAAGACCTCATTTTAAAATGCAGTTCAAAGTATCCAAATATATTTAAGCAAGTGTGGTGGGGTTTTTGGTTTTGTTTTGCCTATATGCTGGGACCTTGCTGTCAAACAGTACTCAGTTTCTTGTGGAATTTGTTTTCAAGTCCTTTCCATGAGACTCCATCTATTCCAAGGAGTCAGGAGCCTCAGCATAAAGAAGTCTGCTCTCAGGCAGCGTGGGGTAGAATCCCATAGGTTTCTCCTTTGCTGTTTTGAGGTATGCCTTCTCAGGGAACCAGCCATCTTGGGGAAATCCTTCCATCTTTTCAAGCACTCTTAATAAATTAGGAGCATTTTCCTGGAAGAACAGGCTGAATCCAGCCAAGCGCCCGGGGCTTGAGTCAGCACACCCTTGGTCTAGTACTGCCGATCTTAATGATACGTTGCTGACATTCATTCAGCACTTGATGTTTTCTAAGCTCTGGTGGCGTAGTGCCTAAGGCACTTGACTGCTAACTAGAAGGCTGGCGGTTCAAACCCACCAACCACTCAGAGGAAGGAAGGTTGTACAATCTACTTCCGTTGTGATACTGCCTCAGAAACCCAAGGAGGGGTTGCTATGAGTCAGATCCAACTCCACAGCAGTGAGTTTGGTAGGGTATACTGAGCATTGTATTATGTCACTTCATTTAGCCTTCATAAAACTTTATGGCATGGCTATCATCCTTATTTTATAGAAAAGGACACTGGGAATAAAAGTAATTGCCCCAAAATTTTGAATTTGAACCAAGATCTCACTTGACTGGACCCTAGATTGTTAACCACTCCACTCCACTGAGGACTATTGGTGGGTCCAGGACCAGTTGCTGTCAAGTCACCTCCAGCTCACGACAACCTCATGTGTCAGAATGGAACTGTGCTCTGTAGGGTTTCAGTAGCAGTTTCTTCAGAGGTAGATCAGCAGGCCTTTCTGCCAAGACTCTCCCTCTGGATGAATGCGAACCTCCAACCTTTCAGTGAGTAGACAAGCATCAGCCATGGACTCTTAGTGGTGAGTAGGATGCTTCAAACCCCAGCTTCAGGGTTTGGCCCCCACAAGCTGCCTGAGGTGGTTTAGAACCAGTCAAAATGATGGCTTGTAATAAGAGAAGACTGGAGTCTTAAACTGATTCTGGAAACTTCTCTTCTTAGTCACATATCCAGGAAACATGCTGGATTTCAAAGACCATTCACACAAGAACAACAACAGGCCATAAACAATGGAGACATTTTCCTGGATAAATAACTATTTTTGGCTGTAATAAATTCCTGTAACCATGAAGCCAGCATCATTTAATGAAAACTTAATGAGTTGAGTTGAAAGTTCCTTTTCAATTGGGTTTAAATGATGTTTGCACAGAATTAACTCAATTTTCCCTGATTGTGTAGAATTTTGAGCGAGTCACGATCTCTACGTACCATCTTCAGGTTCCTTTCGTCTCTTTGTCTGCCTGCTTTGTGTGGGGTATCATGTCCTGTCCTGCCCTCCGTCATCCTCCCCCAGTGAATGTGGGGAAGAGATGAATGGCCTTCTGGGCAGTTGTTGACCCAGAAATTTGAAGGACACAAGGAACTGAGAAAAATGGTAAAATAATTAGAGAATATAGAAAATAAATTATCTTCTCTGTAGAGGTAGAGAATAAACACATTTTTTTTTTTGCTGAACAGAATTATGCAGAATATCTCTGTTGATTAAAATGCTTGAGGAAGTTCCCACATTTAGGTTTTTCTATACAGACATTCTAAAGTGACATCTATTTATGTAAAAAGACAAGAGAGAGATGAGTAACTAGTCAACACAGTGCCTCTGTTCTTTCCCTTGTAAGATGCTCCCTTGAAACTTAGGTAGATAGATAAGTATTAAAAACACCCTTCTACTGTGGTGTCATTAACTTGTTGGTACTAAAATCTCTAGGAGAGGTTCATCAGAAGGAAGAGGTAACTCTGGGCATGAGGAAATCTTGGTAGTGGCTGCAGGAGGTGAGCATTTTCTTTTTTTTTTTTTTTAATCATTTGATAGATTGGACATTTTCAAGAGCAGTCAAGTGCATGGAAGGTCACTAAGCACTGTGTGTTCCCTTTGTCCCTACCTCAGCCCATTACTGCTCCCGAGGTTGGCATTCTTCAACATTAGACAGCATGCACTAATTGCATTTTAATAAGGAATGCTCTGATGCTGTTAAATGTGCCATGTCCTTCAGTGAATTCTACCTCTTAGGAGCCCAGATTTCAAAATGGTGACCTTTCTAGTTTTTCTCATGAGTGGTCCAGTCAATATGAAGCAAATATTTTGATCTTGGTTTTTTACCTAATTGCTCAGAGAAGCTAATAATTGACAAGCAGGGGCTATTGAGCTCTGTCAGTCAAATTGTATTAAATGTCTACTAAAGTAAATGGGTCAGTTAGCAATCTCCCTCCTTTTATTTAAATATTTAATAATGAGGACACTTGGAGCTCTCTTTGTCCTTCCATTATAACTCATCAACTACAAGAAGTGAGTGTTGCCAGGATGTATTTCCAGGTTAAGATGGGTAACTACTCCCATTCCTCTCAAGACATTTCAAGGTAAACCATTGAATCATAAATCATCAGAGCCAAAAGGTTTTAGGATGTTAATGCACCCATTATCTTTGCAAGGCAACAAACCAAAGGTCGTAGAGACAAGTGACTTGCCCAAGATTATACAACTGCCTCAATGCCAAGTGGCCTCACGCCTGTACACTGACTTAATGTAATATTGGGAGACTTTGTAACTAGAGGCATTTATTTTAGTTAGACAGGAGCAAACGACTCAATTTCAAATATTTTAGGATACAAGTGTTCTCTCCTTTGCTTCTCTAGGTGAGATACTTAAGACAAAATGTGAACCGTCATTTGTGTGGCCAACCAACAAAACACTGCATAGTAAAAGATGCAGTAGGGAAGGCTTTGGAGCCCGTAGTTCCTGCCAGACCTCTTCATTTTATTGTGTGATTGGAAGCAAGTCACTTACCTTTTCTACAGAGCAGATTCTGAGAGTTAAAATTTCGGAGTTGAAATCTTCTTTCTGCCACTTCCTAGCTGTCTAAGTTTGAACAAGTTACTCTACTTCTCTGAACCTCTTTTATATCGTCCATGATGAAGTTCATAAGTACACACTTCAGGACTGTTGTGGGGATTACATGAGAGAAGCCAAGGTAAACATTTAGTGGGTTGCCTGGCAATTAGAAGACTAAATATTAACTACCGTTAGCTATGATTCAGTGGCCGATGATTCTGTTTTGACTCATGGTGACCCCATGTGTGTCAGAGTAGGATTTTCAGAGGCTGATTTTTCAGAACTAGATTACCAGGCCTTTCTTCTGAGGTGCCTCTGGGTAGACTCAAACCTGCAACCTTCTAGTTAGCAGCCAACCACACTACCATGTACAAAATTAGGACATGGCTTAGATGCTCCCTATCTCCTCTTCCTTTAATAATATATGTGCCATGTTTCATTGATGCTTTACTAAATTTTCACAAAACATCATTTTTCATACTCAGCTCATTAAGAACAACTCATTAGTCTTAGCATCAAAAAAAAAAACAAAACTGAGTGTCATCGATTCAGATCCAACTCATAGCACCCCCTCCTTGGGTTTCTAAGGCAGTAACACTACAGAGGTAGGTTGCCCAATCTTCCTTCTGAGGAGTGGCTGGTGGGTTTGAACCTCCAGCCTTCTGGTTAGTAGTCAAATGCCTTAGGCATTATGCCACCAGAGCATTTAGGACAGTTAATCAGTTTGACCACTAGGTAGTGACTGAAATCTTGTGCCTCTCAGTTAGTTGTGAGACTGCACTGACCAATTCGTAGGAGACACAGTACCATGTACAAAATATGAACTTCTGCCTAGGAGAACACCTAGTCTACTTTGAGAGAAGAGAATAGAGCATAGAGTGAAGTGAATTCTTCAAGGTCACACTCCGTTAATAGGGGACTTCAGAAAAGAATATGGTTCCAGTTAGGTCAGTGCTTTATTTTGTCTTCGTACCACACGAACCTCAAAAGAAACATACTGTGGTACTTGGCCACTGGGCTTTCACAGGTCTAGGCTGTCTCCCATCTTTCTTTGCTGGTTTAATAAAAAAAGCTTTGAGTAGTCCCTTTGTTCCCTTTTATAGGGGATTATATCTGTCTTATATTTTAACCTTATATCCTTTGGTAACATTCTTATTATCCCACACTGATACAAATGTAATTTGTCTTCAGAAATTAATAGCTAATAGAGGAGCTGGTGTTTCCTTAGAAGCAAAACATACAGACCTATCAATACAGTTTTCACACCTTCATATTTTTCCAAAGGACATCACATTCCATGGCCTTATGCTTAAAAACAAACAAACTCACTGCTGTGGAGTCAGACTCATAGCGACCCCTCCTTAGGTTTCCGAGGCAGTATCTCTGTGGAAGTAGATTGCCCAAACTTCTTTCCGAGGAGTAGCTGGTGGGTTTGAACTGCCAGCATTCTGGTTAGCAGTCAACCATTAGGAAATCCACCTCAGTGATGGGGGGACATGTCTTCTTGTTACATCTTTGGTATTTGGCCCTGCAGTGTTGAGTGTGTGTGTCTGTACAGACCAGATGCCTCTTGTGATGAGTATTTCTTCATTCTTCCCACTGGTAACCAATAAATATCACCTGGGGGTACAAAGAGAAAGTTGAGCCATGCAGCCCAGAACCTACTTCCATGTTCCATATTCCTGTCTCATGAATTCTAGAACTCATGCTTAATGACTGGCACACTGCTTGAAAGGAAGAGAAAAATGACTTAGGGAAAGTTGGAGCTTTGAATTTAGAAGGGGCAGAGGTCTGTCTATGGAAAATAGCACCTATGACAAGCACTGAAATTGCATCCCAGTGCAAACATCTGACACCCATTTTTTAAGATCACTTTACCATAATATCAGATAATAGCACTAAGTCAAGCTTGTCCATCTAACCCGTTATGGCACTTCATGAAAATTACAACTGCACCTCCCTTGCTTTCACTGATGAATATTGGTCTGTGATGTACCCAAGCTCATTTTTGTCAGTTTCTTCTCTTTCTGCACTCAACAGAGCAAGATCCCGCAGTCTCCCTTGACCCATGGGGGCTCTCGAATATGAAAGTATTAGTTATAACTTGCTGAATGGTCTCTCACAGCTGGTGATGGAAACTGCAATGGCAAATAGAAACTGCTTCGTGGTGTCCCCTTCAGGTGGTGCCCAGAGCACATGCCATTCCTGCCATACCTTACACAGGCCTCTGAGAAGGGCCACCATGCTCAGAAAAGTTGTGTGAGGTCCTCAAAGTCACAGAGCTAGTCTTAGGTCCAGCCTAGTAGCAATGGTGGGTGCTCTGGTGGCATAATGCCTCAGGCATTTGACTGCTAACCAGAAGGCTGGAAGTTCAAACCCACCAGCCACTCCCAGAAGGAAGATTGGGCATCTACTTCCATAGAGATACTGCCTCAGAAACCCAACGGAGGTTGCTATGAGTCAGATCCAACTCCAGGCTCTGTCGAGTGCTTTCCTTGCCATTCATTGTACATACATACAGCTTGGGGAACCGACGAGATTAGAGCCAGATGCTGATCCAGTGCAAAATGAAACCAAGGTGTACTCTGAGGTTAATTGAGCTCTCCTGGGTCTGTGCAAAATGATGAGGGCTATTTTTATATTTGTTGCATGGGTTTTAGCATATCCAGGATGGGTGTATTGATCACTGGTATGATTTTGATGGCAAATAATTTTCCCTAACTGTGCTGCTGGTATTCTTGAACTAAAAATGAAACATCTTCATCATCCTGGAGACACTTAGTTTATTCCGGTAAAATTTGAGCAATCATCCTTGGTGGTGAAAATTAAAGAGTAAAATGAGAGGAATTTGTACCTTAATTAGTACCTGTAGTTGACTGACTATTTGTTTATGTTTTGTCAGCGTAGTTTCCAAACAACTCTTCAGTTGGTGGTGGGGAAATGGCCTGGGAGTACTGCTGAATGGTGGCAGATAAGTCCCAACTTGGGTTGGGTTTGCCATGACCTGTTAGCTTCCAGGAAGGTACAGAAGCAAAAAAAAACAGCATCCATCTGATGTTTAAGTCATGTGTGTTGATTCTTCTCTCAGGTCCACAAAAGGTGGCTCCGATTCCTCCCTTTCTGAGCCTCGGCCAACTCAGTCCAGCCGAGCCTTCCTGCTCCGAGTTCTCCGAGCAGCTCTTCCCATCCAGCTTCTCCTCCTGCTTCTCATCGGGCTTGCCTGCCTGGTCCCAATGTCGGAGGAAGACTACAGTTGTGCCCTCTCCAACACCTTTGCCCGATCCTTCCACCCCATGCTCAGATACACGAATGGACCTCCTCCACTATGAGCCAACAGATGCCATCTGTGGAAGCGCTGGCAGCGAAGGGAGGATTTCACTGAAAGCCATCCCCCGCTCTCCAGGAGAGGACCTTCATCATGGGGAATGCCCTCTGTGTGGCAGTGTTAGCCCTCCTCCGTATCCCACATTCGCAAATCATAGCTTTGGAGAGAAACAATGACAAGAGGAGAGCAGACAGATGACAGGAAGTTTGGAAAAAATTACAGTTACGTCTCCAAGCCTTAGCACTTAAGAGATTGACTAAGACCCTCCAGTGTTCACCAGGCATGGGAATTCTAGGTGGTCAGTCCATTCTATGCATAGCCAAGGACTTCAGCAGACCTTCTGGGTAGCTTCCTCAGGGTGCTGCTCCACCCACCCAATGAACAGTCCTCTCTGGGCACCATGTCAATATCATACAATCTACCAATCAACCAGTGCTAAAGAGATTTTAAAACCTTGTAACATACCATTTTTAAGAAGTTATATGGCAGCTTCCTTTTTACCTTGTTTTCCTTTTGGGCATGATGTTCTAACTCTTGCTTTTGTAGCACAAGCTGTAAATCTAAAAGGCACTTTTTTAAAAGGTATAAAGAGAAACCGGATGTAATAAATAAGATCATGGAAGGCTTTATGTGAGAAAAAGATTTAATGTTATAGTAAAAAAAAAAAAAAAAAGATATTTATGTATGTACAGTTTGCTAAAGCCAAGTTCTGTTTGTATTGATTTATTTGCATTTATTATAGATATTATAAAATATTTCGTCTGTGCTTTTTCTTTTCTTTTTTTTCCCCCTAAAGAAATGACTCTAAATGTCACTATGAAGCAGGCATTTTCAGAAGTCAACCTAAATGATCTTTTTCTGAGAAATGATGAAGGTGGAACATAAGTATCTATTAAGGGAAAAGGATGATTAGAGAAAGTGCATATTTAGACGTGGGACCCAAAGCAAAATGGTTCCCTCTCTTCCAGTTGGTCAAAGAGAAAGGCACCCTGGGAAAACTCACGCTATGGGTGATTCTTTTTTCCCTCCTTCCATAACCAATCAAATCTCCTGAGTTCCTGCTTCCCCGAATCTTTCCAAATTTTCTTCCTTTTCTATTCTATTGGAGTGTGCAATTACAGGAGTGTGGTAGAATCTGCCTGAGGCCCCTTCTCTACTCCACCCCCAGGGCTGCCATGAATTTTCTTAAAGCACTCATTTCTTCACATCCCTTCTTTGCTCCAAAACCACCTATTGTTTTCCATTGTCTACCAGATAAAATACGATGTCAGTCTATCATACAAGTCCCTCTGCAATGAGATTTCATTCTGCCCCTCTGATCTTGATCTTGCCAATTCGTGGCCCTGTGACAGGGAATTGTTAGGCCCTCATGGCATTTTGATCCACCATTGAATAATGGGGGGAGATCATATAACACCCAGATTGACTCTTGAAAATCAGAGGCTCTACATGGCAGTAATTGGCTGCAACTCAGTGGCTGCTCTCCCTTTAAGACTGTTGTTGTTCATTGCACTCCAAACTCAGGGCCACCCCATGTGTCACACAGTGTGACCACTATGATCCATACAGTTTTCATTGGCTGATATTTTGGAAGTAGATCGCCAGGCCTTTCTTCCTAGTCTTGGTCTGGAAACCCCTCTGAAATTTGTGAAGCATCATAACAGCACACAGACCTTCCCTGGCAAACAGACGGGGGCTGTGCATGAGGCACATTGGCAGCATGCAAGCTGAGGTCTCCCATGTAGAAGGCAACAATTCTTCCACTGAATCACCAATGCCCCTGGTACCCCTCAAAAACATTTGTATTTGCACTCACATCCTATCACCTTTTCTCATTGCCTGTACCAGCCTAGCCCTGTAGGTGGTTGAGTTTATTTCTATCTAAATTGAGCATTTTACTTGATTTGAGGTACTCAAAATTCTCTGAAACTGCCTTCCTGGATTTCATGATGCCTGTAGCCTGAATACTAGCTTAACCAGTGTTCCTGATACTTTTTAAACATTCAACCTTATGGGTTCACTTCAGGCCTTCTAATTCAACCTCTGGGGGTAACCTGGGAGCTTGCATTTTAAACACTCACTTGGGGTGGTTTTACTCACCTACCTATTGAAAAGCACTGCCTAAGCCTTCTTATCCCCATCTTTTGTTTTTCACCAGACCGTCTCTCTTCCTTCTGAAGACTCAGTTCAAAGCCACCTTCTCCTTGAAGACCATACTGATGAGTTTAAGACTGTGTTTAAGACCTACTGAGCTTTCCTAATTATTTTTCTCATACATATTTTGCTTTCTACTGCTATTTTGTTCCTTTCTCATTTTGCCTGTAATCTCCTCAGAGAACAGGATGGAGCTGAGTGTTGCTGTTCTTTTATAAAGAAGGCAAACTTACTGTTTAATATTTTTCCCATCATCCCTTCTCGAAAGGCTGTGCATAGTGGTGGAGACTGGAAATGAAGGTTGCCCTGTGCACTTACCTGACAGGGGTCACTTTTCAAGCTTCCCTCATCTGTTACGTCCCTCTCACTCCTGCCCCAAACACCTGAGCAGCCAAGCCACCCCTTCAGTAGACCTTGTTGCTATTGTTATGAAAAATGACACACAAGGAGACATTTTGGTGGTGGTGGAGATGGCCATCAAATCAGCTCCTATGCATGGTGGTCCCATGTAAGTAGAATGAAACATTGCTCGGCGCTGCATGACCTTCACAACTGGTGTTTGCTCCAGTTCATTGCTGTGGTGACCGAGTGTACCGAGTGCCTGCCGACCTATGGGGCTCATCTTCCAGCACTATACAGCGCAGTAGTCTTTTGGGATCCATAAGCTTTTCATTGGCTGAATTTCAAAGTGCAGAGCTTTCTTCCTAGTCTGTCTTAGTCTAGAAGCCCTACTGAGATCTGCCTACCATGGGTGAGCCTTCTGGTATTTGAAATACTGGTGGCATAGCTTCCAGTATCACTGAGACACTCACCGTGGAAAAGAGGCAAGACACTTGAGGGATATTTCTTCTCATGACTGACTGACTTACCAGGTGTGATAGTTGGAGCTGTGTGTCAACTTGGCTGGACTCCAGTTCTGTGTGGTTGTTCCCATGATGGGATCGGATGACTGTGTTCTGAGTGGCCAATCTGTTCAAGGGAAGTTTCCCTAGGCATGTGGCCTGCTTCCAGGATATCCAGGGACATCCTGGGAAGAGAGGCATTCTTTTGTGGATTGGGATTCTGTTGTGCTGCCTACAACTGTCCACGAGTGGGCAGTCCACCGTTCGGCCTGGAGATCTTGGATTCATCATTCATTGGAGTCAACAACCAGTGTACTGCCTGCCAGCCTTGAGCTTCTCAGCCCCTGTG